CAGTGGGAGCTGCTCTCCCATCCACAGGTATATTGAAGATTTATGGTGAGAATAAGGAGAGGGCAAACAGAGGCAAGCCTCCTTCTGCCCCCTCTCAGGGTATATGGAGTGAGATGTCACTCGGCCTGTATGCTGGGAGCTGTAGTCCCAGGAACCAATGTTAGCACCTTAGAAGTTACCAGGCCTGGATCCTCTTGTTCCATTCTGGGCCCAGTAACCACTGTGGAGCTAATACTGCCTCCTGGGACTACAGCTGCCAGCATGCAAAAGGCAAACACTCCCTCCTGCATGGTTGATACTTGCCATGGACCAGTCTCACATGTGACCGCTGCACCCCTGGTAGTTCTGCCAGTGTTAGCCATTGTTTAGCAAGATTGCTTCTGTCTGACCTGCCTTTTTCTACTGCCAGAGCCCCACTGCAGGCGGAAACAGACACACGTAGAAGGGCTACCTTCCCCATCATCTGCTTCATACATACATAGGAGGGCTACCTTCCCCATCATCTGCTTCATACATACATTGGAGGACTACCTTCCCCATCATCTACTGGAGACACAAATAGGAGAAAAGCACAATCAGCCTGGCTGCTGTCTCACTTTTACTGATGACACAGTCACAGGTCTAGTCCCCTTGATTGGAAAGCCCGGGACTGCATTCTTCAACTCAAGTTCGGTGCTGCCAACTACCAGGAGCTTCTGCAGGATGAGGTTGTCTGGAGCAGAGCTCCGTGTGGTCAGTGCACTGCAGTTACATCACCTTTTTTCTGCAATGCTTCTTGAAAGTAAATATAAAACAAATCTCAACTTACAATATTTTATATATACACAGAGGCTGACAGCCACACACACTGACAGAAAAAAAGCGGATACAAGAAGACAAGCTGAAACACATCTAGAATCCCGGACTGTACCAACTTTTACAATGGGGGAACCAGGCAAATTTGCATATGACTTAAACACTAGAACGAACTACCGCTACCGAATTTCGGAAACGGAAATTCGGATTTGTTTGCATTCGTTATATCTGTAATTCGGAATTCGGATACATCCGAATGTCCGTATTTCCAAAAATTTGTCCGAATTTCGATTCGGAACGAAACGAATCGCACATGTCTATTAAACACATTATTTACATATGAATGAATCACATCTTATTAATATATAAATAGTGCCATCCATTCATAAGTAAATGTTAATCCGATCCTGGCTGGGGGTAAATTAGGGTGTGCGTAGGCACACCCAGCACACCCCATGTGCATGCCAATGACTGCAGTGATTGTATGTCCCTTTGTGTCCTCAAATCCTATACACAACACAGAAAGTAATGACTCAAGGAACCTTAGTCCACTGCAGCAGAGGGGGAGAGAGACACCAGGGACCAGTCTAAAAGCCAGTTAACTCTGAGGATCTGGTGAGTATAACTTATTTTACGGAGACACAAACAAGCACTTAACTCTTTCAGTGCAGGGATGGCCCCACTGCAAAGGTTAAGGATTTTTTGAACCTGGGTTATGCTTTTAAGAAGAAGACAGTATATGATTTACTTCTCTGCTGCCTCTGATGGTTAGTCATCAGTGACACTGCCTGAGGTCCACCCTTCTAGAAATTATTATAATACAGGATTTATATGGTTGCGCAGCGCTTTACAATATAAGGAAGACATAACTTGCAGTGGGGCTACCAGCCTCTACAAGTGTTTGTTTGTGTCTAGGTTAAAAAAAGTTATACTCACCAAAACCTTAGATCCAGCCAGTAGTAACAGCGCTTCCTCCTGCCTGTATCTTCCTCCACTGCCACAATGGTATGTCCCTTGGTGTTCTCACATCCTGTACACTTTATAGAGCGTGATGACTCAAGGATTCTTAACCTCCTTGGCAGTATTCCGAGTGTAGCTCGTGGTTACTTCTCCATACCCTGAGCTACACTCGGGAATATCGCATAGTATTTACTTACCTTGTCCCTCGAGCCGCGCGGTGTCCTCCGGACGGCACCAGCATCCCTCTTCCGGGTTCCGTCACTTGCGAGCGTACACGTTGCACGGTGGCGGAACCAGCAGGAGATTAAAAAAACGGGGGAAAAAATAGCGCCAAAAAATAAACGAAACAGAAAAGAATCATACCACCAGGGAGGTTAAACCACTGCAGCAGAAGAGTAGAGAGGCTCCAGAGACTGGTCTAAGAGCTGGCAGGATCCGAGGATCTGGTGAGTATCACTTTATTAACCTAGATACAAACAATCACTTAATCCTTGCAGTGCAGGTTTTCTATTGTGAATAAGATATGGAATTATGAGATTTGCAAATCATTACATTCTGTTTTTTACCATATACATTTGTATTGGTAGTATCTCAATAAACTATACAAAACAGTACAATACAGGACAATACAGGGTGCCTGAGTGGCAATCATCACAGATACATTTCCCGGAAGGCATCAGGGCAGTGGTGCCTGTATAGGCAGCGTTTAGATAACGGTAGGTACCTCTTCCATATGTAGGGTTAGCTTGACGCAGTAAGCATGGGTAGTAGACAGGTAATGTGAAATCATGGTATGTACATTTTACATGTTATATAGGGGCACACTTTCTAGTCATTGTTCATGTTATATTCAGCTGTCTGAGTATAAATATAGGTTCCGTAGGCACGCTCCACCTGGGGGGTGTAGTGTGTGATGAGCAGAGTACAACGACCCACACATCTGATGAGACCTTCATACCTATAAGTATTACAGAGGGTTCCTGAGCCGAGTGATCTCAGTTGTTGCCCATAGGCCACAGCCAGTTTGCAGGAGCTACGGTACATTCTGTTTTTATGTAGATTTTACACAGCGTCCCAACTTTTTGGGAATTGGGGTTGTATGTGCTTGTAGGCACATGAAAGTGCATGTTGAGAAACTTTCTGTTAGCCCATCATAGACAGGGGTTAAAAATGGTGACTATGATATAAACATGAGATGCAATGGTGACCAAAATGGGATAATGTAAACATTAAAGTTGGGACTGTATCGATGGACTTTTGTTCAGGTCATAACTGTTTATCTCCCCATATCAGCTAAAGCAACTTTGAACAGGTAAAATTCAGGTCAGAAGGAGGTCACCTGCATTTCAGATACACCTGTCAGGGAATTCTAAATAATCTCAGAACTGAATATTTTAAACTGATGTTAAAAGCAAACTGCATTTGCACATCAACACAGGTTGTAATTGATATTGCTTCTGGTTCAAAAATGGAGATGTCAGAGGAAAATTCTAAAAAGTTATTTGTAATAGCAGGGCAACAACATTTTCATTACAATATGGTTAAAGTAAAAAAAAATACAGTAAAATAAAGGGCAAAATACAACAATGATTGGATTCCCCCCTGATATTGGCTGTTCCCATCAGAGTGTCCCCTTACATTAGATGTTCCCATCAGAGTGATCCCTTACATTAGATGTCCCCATCAGCGTGACCCCTTACATTGGCTGTCCCCATAAGAGTGCCCCCTTACATTGGTTGTCCTCTTACATTGGTTTTCCCCATCGGATTGCCCTCTTACATTGGCTGTTCCCATCAGAGTTCCCCCTTACTTTCATAATGAATGTAAGCAGGCAAATAATAATTAGTTGTCCCCATCAGAGTGCCTTCTTACTTTGGTACTCCCCTAAAGGGCCTGTTCATACCAGTGCAGTTCATTAATTGCATGGTTCTGTTTGGTTAACGCGCACTACTGCACATCGCAACTACTGTGCATTACAGTGTGGCAGGTGCATTGTATTGCCATTTGTTTGAATGGCATTCCAAATGCACCTCCTGACCACAATGCATTTGACCACACTGCAACATGCGGTACTAAAATACTGCAGTGCAACACAGCTGAAAAAAGATGTGTATGTGGTGCACAATAGTGTAACTACTAAACATACGATGAATGAACCGCATTGGTATAAATAGGCCCAAAGAGTGCCCCTTAATATTACTGTCCTCACATTTTTTTCTAAGTATCTTAGTTATGCAAACTAAGAAACACAATAAAATGGGGCTTTCCTGATACCTAAGTGCGCCTATCACACATAAAATAAAGCATTACTTTTATTATATACATATATACACAGTATATATTAGGGATGCACCGATACCAGTTCAGATACAAGTGCCAATACTTGGCATTTTCATGAGAAATACCAGGGTTGCAGCGGTTGCAGCTGGGACCTGGCTCTGGCGCTCCACCACTGTCCTGAAATCATTAGTCTGTATTGTTTTAGAAAAAGTGTCACATGACAATAAACAAAAATGTATCAGTACTGGTATCTGTGAGGACTTGGGCGAGTATCAGTATCGGTGCATCCCTTATCTATATATATATATATATTTATTTATAAAAAACAAAATCACATTAAAACAGAGATGTAGAAATCCCGGGAGCTCCTTACAAATGACAGCTGCCTCCTAACTTTTGAATTTTTCTCTAATCTAGTCTTGGAGCTTGAAAAGTATCTGTACTTGTACTTCTACGGTACTTGGTATCGGTGTATCCCTGATATATATATACACTGAGTGGCCAGATTATTATGACCACCCCATCAGTACTTCGTTGTGCCGCCTCGTGACTCCACGAGATGTTGAAAGGTGATGCGAGGAATCTGACACTGCACTGTTGCCCTTCTGTTGTCTTGTACCAGTCTTGCCCATCCCCCATTTCACACATTAAAGTATATGAATAGTAATTTTCATTTTTGTATTAAAAGTCTAGTTTTAAAATTAAACATTTCCATCCTTCACCAAATTAAAAAAGTAAAAGGCACACAAGTTTCAAGAACTTTGCTGAATTCATTTTTCAAGCCTTAAAAATCACGTTTTTAATAAACTTTTGTAGAAACATACACTGCCACATAAAAAGGTTACATTTAAAAGGAAAAAATACAAATGTTTTCCAATGTATAAAATTATTTGCTACATTTTGAATATAAAGTTACCAAATTATACAATTACACATTGTATGTCTGGTTAAGTAATTTGCAAATTTTATTGACTACAGAAGTGCAACTTCATAACATTGTTGATAATTTTTCCTACAACTTTTTTCAAGTCTGCATTTCTCAGGCTGTATATAATTGGATTCATCAGAGGGGTGACCACAGTGTACATTAATGACACAAATTTAGTTATATTCCATGACTGCCCCCTACTAGGTATCAAATACACAAAAAGTAAAGTACCATAAAAGATGGACACAACAGTCAGGTGAGAACTGCATGTTGAGAAAACTTTCTGTCTCCCACTCATAGTTGGGATTTTAAAAATTGTGAAAACAATATAAATATATGATGCAATGATGACAAAAAATGGGATGATGGCAAAAAATATGGTTGACAATGTTACTAATAGTTGAACAAGAAATGTACTAGAGCAAGAAAGTTGTAAGATTGGGTCAAGATCACAGAAGAAATGGTCAATAATATTGGGACCACAAAAATGTAATTTTGAGATGTCTGAAGTATAAGTCAATACCGCTAAAAATCTTAAAGTCCAACTCGTGATAATCGTGATCCAGCAAAACTGATGGCTCATTAACAAACTGTAATGTAACGGCTTACAGATGGCCAAATATCTGTCGTAAGACATCACTGTCAGTAAGAGACACTCTAAAGTGATTGAGACCCCAAAGAAATACAACTGGGTGATACATTCAGAAATGGAAATTATGGTAGTATTTTCCAAAATGGCATTGAGCATGTTAGGAAGAACATCGGTTGATAATAAGATATCTGATAGAGCGAGTTGGGAGAGGTAGAAGTACATGGGAGAATGGAGGGTTTTGCTGTAGGACACCATTGAGATAATTAGAAAGTTTCCACATATTGTCAGACAATAAATCAAAAGAAATACAAAGAATACCAAAAATGTTAAACTCTGTGGAGTCTGAAGCCCTAAGAGGTGGATAGTAATGATGGTTCTATTTTGCTCATCCATGGCCTAAGAACAGAACAGAAACATTTTATAAACAAGGTTTGTCGAGCCAAAGAAAAATATTGGAGCTGAATTTTAAGAGAGAGGAGAAGTGGGGCAGGGCCGAAAGAAAGGAAAGATAATAAGTATGTAAGAAGAAAGAGGAAAGGCAGCATGATGACAGCCAATGATAACTAAGTAACAAATAAATGATGAAAATTACCCCAAATATTCAGCAATAGGAGCAATAAAGAGACAGAAGCCACAACCTCCAATAAACTAACTCCAAGACCCCTAATGTCATCACAGACAGTGCACAGTCGGCTTCTTCTTCAGTCAGAGCAGCCTTGGGCCGACAACACTGAACCTGGAAGTGCTCAGAGCTAAATATCTCTTGGTCCAAAGTACTGGATAGAAAATCACCAGCACCCACAAGGATAAGAGCATGAGTTATTGTTCCTTTTATTGGAATCATGCCACATGCGTCATCCAAGCCAACTTTTCAGGGTCATGCAGAGTCAAGAATTCACACTCTTATCCTTGTGAGTACTAGTGATTTTCTATCCAATACTTTGAGGCAACACGGCGCCATCCATGTCATCACTGTGAGCACAACCAATAGTAACTTCAAGGTCACAATGTAGTATGCAGTGCAGGTGACAACACTGGTCCTGTGTCCAGACTACCCAGGGGCCATCAGCAAACAGGCATTTATTGATCTCTTGCTGCTTTCCATCCTGACACCCACCATGGAGGTCCTGGGCACCCAGGAGGAACAGGTAACTCCAGGACACATTGCCAGGGGGGTTTAAGTGGTGGGGGTCCTTTACATTTAAAATTGATCAGGTGTTCTACAGCTGCCCAAATCATTTCTACTACATAGCTCGAAGCCGGGAGTGTAAAGGAGGCAGGGACGTGCTACATAAACGTTTTATGATTGCAATTTTGTGTGAAATGTGTCAATGGAATGGCGATATTGTTGATTTTGTGTCTTTACTCCCAGTAAACCTTCTCATTACTGCAAGCAGCTCCATGGTTCATTGCTTCATTATGCTGCACTGTAACTTAAGTAACCTTTAAAGGCTGAGTTTAGCTTTCAGACCATGTATCATGTTACACCTATATTTAGGGTGTAACATGGTCACAATGAAACCATCCCAACCCTCCTCCTGCAGCCCCACTTACCTGAAATACGGGGTTCTATTTCCTGCAGGCTGTTGTTAAATCTCTAAAATGGTGCAGCTGTGCGTCGCTCCACTCACACAGCCGTGTCATCCATTCATAGATCCTTTGACAGGTTCTGTCTCTGGTCACCGGACTTGTAGTCCATTCATTTTTCCTTCCGCTTATGTTACTGAGTTTTTGTACTTTTGTAAGGTAAATAAAGGAAAATGAGAGAGAATCTGCAGGAGCTAGAATATTGAACCTGCGATCCACCGGTTATGGTTGTAATGCTTTACTGGCTCCAATGCAAAAAAAAAGTAATTCATGCTTATATTTCGTTTATGAAGTGTACATTTAATACTTTATTAAGAAGATGGACTTTACAATTTAAGTCTCCCTTTGAAATATTGATTTAGACTGTAAAAAGAGAATTAGTACAGTTTTCCTTAGCAATCAGATTATTTTTAATGAAAAAAATGAGTTACAGATTTCTCTTCTTGTGTAATTGCATTTAACACATTATGGGAAAAAAAAACATGACAACAATAGGTGCATTTTATCTAGCTATGATTTTACACAATGCGGAAAGCTCCAGAGTGCCAACGATTTGCAAAATATCACTCAAAGTAAGTAAAGAGAAAAAAAGTGTGCAGATGAAAAAAGGTTTTACTGGTTTAAATGTTTTTATTGCAATATGTTTGCTTTTAAAACAATCTGACAGATATCTATCAACCAACAAAACACCAAATGTTAATTCATTAAAATAATAATAATAATAATAAATATCAGCTTATCCATTATCATTTGCCCTGTAAATGTTGAATTTTCTGTTCGTAGAGTATTGTGGCTTTTATAGATAAGCAGAATAAATTACACTGAACTCCAGGGAGTAAGGCATGATCAGTGATATTGCCATGGGATTCATAACTAATACATGGGGAAATTACTTTAGTTGTTTTTTCTTTCAGTGGATGACTTAACTATTTATTAACAGTAAGCCAAAACATGGGAGTACATGAAGAAATGTTCTTGCTTTCTACTTTATAAACATGATTTCAAAATATACCTTCTGTGCCATAGTGGTTAGCGCCTCTGCCTTGCAGCACTGGGGGTCCTTGGTTTGAATCCCATCCAGGTCCCTTTCTGCAAAGAGTTTGAATGTTCTCCCTGTGTTTGCATGGGTTTCCTCTGAGTACTGGCTTTCCCCCTTACTCCAACATGGGGGGCTACTTTTGTTTCCCGTGGTCCCTGTGTGTGTTGTAAAGTAGCCACCACTCCAAGCTCGCTCCCGGGATGGACTGCAATCTCAATACAAATTATAAAACTAAACATGAGATTGGAGTCCATCTCAGGAGGGAGCTTGGAGCAGTGACTACTTTACAACACACATAGGGACCATGGGGAACAAAAGTAGCCCCCCTCCAGAAGGAAGGGCAGCGTCAGCACCAATTCAGAGATGAATTGAGGATCTATAGCCAAGTGATAGACAAATAAGATACATTGTCGTTAATAGTTAAGATACTTGCATGTATTTTTACGATTTAACTCCTTAGTTTACTGTCACTGTAATAATTCCAGATTTAAAGCATACATTTGTATAATGAGACCTTATTCTGCACACTGCCTTTGCTGTTTGCCCATCTGGAAGGTGTTCAGAAGCAAAAGACAGATAGCCAAAAGCACTTGTCCAGAACAGATAACTGGAAATCTCCCAGTGGACCTTCCCTTCTTGCAAGGGCTCACCCAATCCTAATGGGCTGAGCAGAACTTAATGTTCCAGCCCAATGTCCCATCCTAATACTTTCATGCTACAGCAAATTCAAGTCAATCTGATGACACTTGTTTACTCTAGTAGCCCCTTGCACAATTTTTTTGACTATGAAAGGCTGCTTGTGTAGGGCACATACATTATAGCCCTTTTATATTGAATGTAAGTGCATTATTACAGTCACATGGAAAACAATATAGCACTGGAATATATTCTTTACATTATTTCAGGGGCTAAGCTACTCTAAAAAAATCCCATTGCTTTTTGGCAGTCCTGAGGAGACATAGATACCGTGTTTCCCCGAAAATAAGACACTGTCTTATATTTTTTGGCTCAAAAAACACACTAGGTCTTATTTTCGGGGTAGGTCTTATTTTTGTTTAATGTATAACAATCCAAAGTTAGTGCAAATCCAAATTAAATAATCCAAAATGGCAAAGTTAAGAATAGGGTGATCAGGGCAATCAGGGAAAGCTCAGCTTATGCGGCTCTGCTCCCTGTGTTTCTGCCTCGCTTCCTCTAGCGCTGGCTTCATTGGCACCGCTGATTCTCTCCAGCGGCTCTTCAAGTTCCCCCTTATGCCACCACCGGCCCTGGGAATGGTCACAACTAGGTCTCATTTTCGGGGTAGGTCTTATATTTTAGCAATTCCCAAAAATAGCACTAGGTCTTATTTTCGGGGTAGGTCTTATTTTCAGGGAAACAGGGTATTAATTATAAATTCTGATTGAAAACAGCAACCCATCTTTAAAAATCAGTGGAATATGAGAGATGTGCTTTGTTGGAAAAGGAGCACCAATTATGTTTATGTTGCCACCGTATAAAATTATTTCCGAAATTACAAATGTAAAGTTACCCAATTGCAAGATCAACGTTCTTTTAAAGAAAATCCAATGAAAAAGGTTTGAGCTGATTTTTAGAGAGGAGAAGGGGGAGGGCAGAGAGAAAGGAAAGAAGACTGGGAAGATGGTATCAAATAGGTCAGCAGTATAAAGGAGATGAAGGCAGGAAGACATGGGGGAGGCGGCACAATGACAACCACTGATGTCTGAACTGAACTAAATAACAAATAAATGAAAAGGATGACCAGAAATATTCAGCAGCAGGAGCAATGTCAACTTTGCACTCTGCTGAAGCAGACTGAGCACAGTCTGTGCTCAATCAACTTCTTTCCTAGCCAGTCTGAGTAGAGACCATCCAGGGGAGGTCAGCAAATGGGTGTTCATTGATCTCCTGCTGCTCTCCATCCTGACATCTGACATGGAGGTCATGGGCACCCAGGAGGAACAGGTAAAATTCCAAGAAACATGGCTGGGGGTCAAGCGAGGGGCACTTTAAAGCTGAACCCTGGGCAGAATTTTTCTTGAACCTTACTCATCTACCCCTGTGTTCAGTTATACTCATCTGATCCTAGGAGCCGGCTTGCTCTTAGACTGGTTCCTGGAGCCTCTTTCCCCCCTCCACTCCAGCGGCCTATGGTCCCATTCTATACATAGTGTATAAATGTGAGGATGCTGGGGAATATTTCAATGCTGCAGTACAGGAGAAGAGAAGTTTCAGGGACCAAAGTAGCAAGTAACTCACTACCTGTCTCAGGGTGGCTCCACTCTATGGCGGCACTCTTGGACAGCAGCATTATCACTAGGTGGAGAAAAAAATGTTAGATAGACTGGAAGGTTTAGATGGACTTGACTAACAAATGAAATCTAATCTACAGCTAACACATATCAGACAGTTAATGCATCAGTTTTTGTTTCCCCTTTTGGAATGAAGGTTTTACAAAAATGAATAAAAGCTGACAAATAAAAGCACACCTGTCAGTGGTAAATGGTTTGTCTCAAACGTCTATCTGCCACATTTGCTGGACAGCTTGGTCTGTTAAAGGAAGCTGAAAAACAAACTTACTGGACAGATCACCAGGTGAAAATGAAGGGAAAAAATGCATAAAAAAGAAAACTATTGCATCTAAGAACTGGTAAGCTACAATATATGACATTTTTAATTTTGGGTTTAGATAGTCTTTAAGTAACCCCGAACTCTCCCTCTGAAATATTTATTTAGACTGTTAAAAGATAATAAGTGTTTGCAATGTACC